GATGTCACAAATTCAAAATAGCCTGGAATCAGGTAAAATCACATCGTCCGTAATCACTGGGGTTTCGACTTACCTTTATGCCGATTTCTAGTATTCCACCTTTTTGAACGATCTTAAGAATTCGGCTCATCTCTGCATGAACGCCATCACTGGAGGGCCATATTTTAATTGAAATATTAAAACCACGTGGCAAGCATAATATTAAATCAAACGTGTTCTTGAATCATCGATCTGGCGTAAACAATTACTAAATCCCTAGTAAAACTGTCGCCCTCACCCAACAATTACAACTATTCAGCTTAGAAAGGTGAATGTTTGTTGGATATCTTATCTATTAAAATTAGATTAAACAATGCGACCGCAGTTTGCTTAAATACATTCTGGGAATCGAAATGCAGCACTATGATTCCAAATGGCGCCGTCTGATCACATAATTTTGCGGTAAGAATTGATCGAGGTGTGTTACTACGTTGTTCAAGCTCTCTTAGTCTTAGATGACAATGACAAAACAACACTAGATGCATTTATGTTCATTCAACTGACAGTTACCTACAGTGAACCAGAGACGAGAGGTAAACGCTCTGCTCCGAAAGCGCTCTCTCGCTATGGAAAGCATCCATTTTAAACCAAGTTCAATTACCTCCGTCAAACCTTGTTCAGCAACGGTACTGGCTAAATAATTACGGTGTCAAATGACAATTTCGCTGCAGTGCCGTCGGTACCTTGTCGTATTTACGCTGACAAAAGTGTTCATTTCAACAAGCATACGCCTGTTCGTTGCACCGGCTACTTTAGTGCTGTTGTGTACAGGTGAAACCATCACTTAAACGAAGGGATCAGAACGACAGCTGAAAGGCTTAGAGCAGCGTTGGCTTCAACCCAAAATAACAAAATCACAACTAAAGAATGGTTCTGATCTTTTACAAGCTCACATGTTCCCGTTGGAGATTATGAAGATCAAGAAAAGAAGATTGGATCTACCAAGCAATTAGGGTGAGCATACACCATTTACTCCAGCTCATAAGCTTCTCGCGTGGGAGCCGAAACACTGCCAGCCCTTTACCAAGCAACAAATTAGGAGTCGACCTGCTTTCGGAGAGGAATACTTCGTTCTACGATGCAGTAATTGATGTCTCATGGCAACAGTGTTGAAAAGCTGTGAATACAGCGGATATCATAAATAAGAAAAGCTGTACTACCACCAACCGCTACAGATATTTATGAAATGCATTACTTTGCTATTTTAAAGTGAATATTCCGGCATGGCTTGGCGATCTCTCTGCCTTCTCCGCAAAGACCAGTCTCCTCACGTCGCCGCAACGTTCGGTGATCGCAAAGCCATTAGATCCCTCCTTAGCTCGTACGCTATAAATTTCTCGAAAACAACCAAGCTTCATTGGGAACTTCCACCCTCAACCTACATGCACGTCGTCTTGTAGGTACTTAATATAACATCTTTCAAGCAAAACAATGAATCATCTCCCACATGATTCGTGAGTCATTCCCTTGTCGACGAAAACAAGGCTCACAAGAATTTTTATCCTAATTGCTACCCCCTGTGCAGAACAGGCATCTAGAATTTTGAACGCCCTACACTCACCGTATGGCTGAAAACTATATGACAGAATGAGGCCCGAAGATCCGTATTATGACTTGCCATCAGATGTACCACCTGTTTAGAATGCCGAAAAGTCAAATCAATAATTTACATAGCCATTTGCCTGGTTACAACAAGAGCAGAAACGATTGCGAATGAAAATCGGCTGTTGGCAATGTTGCGTGGGACTCGTCGGTCTCGAGAGGTCTGAGGCATGAGACTGTCGATATCAAATTAATGAAGGATGTAATATGCGCTTCGCTTCTTGAAAAAGTACGAAATGTTCTAACTCGAGAAGGGCCATTATTCTAACAGACACGACTATAAGTCGTGGAAAGGGGAGACGAAGTGGTCTGCCTGCTCATCGCGCAGCCGCTAAAACTTGCGAACTGTTTTTTAAACATAAAGCGTACATGCTGTGTAAATTTTTAGTCAGCTAGCAGATGGGTCAACACGAATTTCAATATGGGCCCTGGTCAACGCGCTCGCACCAAACATGACTGTATGACTCGCCGTGACCAGACCAAATCATGCACCGCGAAGTACATCACTGTATGCTTTATTAAGTCACAAACGGCAGAACAACGTTTTGTATTAAAATGCTTTTAATTATGAACATCTTATAGAGACAGTAATGCCTTGGATAAAAATTAGCTCCGCCTTCAGAGTCACAGTGAGGTTATACATGACATTATCTTCATGAATGTCAAAGTAACTAATATAACTGATGGCCAAACGTTTCTTTTATTCCAAAGCGACCTTGTGATGCTTTCAGTCATTGTGTCGTTGATATCTCTGGGGAGGTCGCGATTGACTCAGCTGATAGCCCTGATCAGTAACGCTACCTGGACTTTAAGGACGAAAAGCTGCTTTGGCAAATCTTAGCCACTTGTCCTTCATCGCATTGCCGCCATCGAAAATTATACCGGCTCGGTCGTCGTCCGGGCTAGCAAGGGC